AAACGGAAGGAATCCACAATAGTGACGGGGGAGTCGCACAGGGTGATGGGGGAGGGTGGGGCTCTGTTCCTCCGGAAATCAATTGCCGTCTTTGCGCTTCAGGTGGTCCTCGATAGACCCACGACGAAGCACGCCGTTCCCTCTCAGAGGGGCAGCTTGTCGCAGCCTTTGGAGGGCGGGAAGTTCGCAGCTCCGACCGATGGTCGCAAGGCGGCACGCGATAAGATATACATGTATATATGAATATGTCTCAATATTAAAGGATTTGCTTGTTTAAGCTTAGCTACAGAGTAGCCTGCGTAGCGAGAAGATGAAATAGGACTGATCCCAGGATGATACCGGTACTTATACGTGATGGGAGGTCATCCGGGGTCACAGGTGACTTTGTTGGTATAAAGACTCGACCTGCGCATGCGCGAGACAAGATAATCCAGTGTGAAGCACTGCCTCCGGCGGTCAGTAAGGATATAGAACTCACCAGCTCAGATTTAGAATTTAGGAAGGAAATTTGGACACAGTTGCATCACCAGACTATGGGACAGTTATTCAGTCCACACTGAATTCCATATCTGCATTCACTGGTACAAAACAAACGGGATTAAAAGGCCAACTACATCAGTTTCACTTAAGTGTACCAAAAGTATTTAAAAATAATGACTGGTAGCTCTTGACTATAACCTCATGCTCTAACATTGTCATAATATTACACTTAGTAATTAAAGCCCCTCCTTTAGGTTGTGTGTCAGCTGTATTTTTCTCCATCTTTTCACAGTGGCCAAACAAAGACACTTGTCTTTTTCTATTTCTTTCAGTGTTTCCTTTCTTGTTGAGCTATTGACCTGCTAAAGTCTGAGCAGCTGACCCAGATTGATTTTTAGCTCTGTTTTCTTCTGGGCACAACTGGCCACCCTGGGACCAGAGGTCCCAAAAACCCGGATCAACGCTGGTCCAACCCAAGAGGTCGAGAAACAAGATGACAGCCGGTCTGTTCTTAAACTGGCCAACACGCGTTCCTGGCACTCCAACTGGGAGGAACCTCCTCAGACGTCACGCCAACTCTAACGTCGCCTAAAGGTATAACTTCTATCACACATTTTAAACAAAGCAATTTAAGGATCAGTTAAATTTTGAAAAATAATCTTAGTAAATGCATTAAATAAATAGATAGTTTAGGCCCAAAGTACAACTCAGACTTAGAACTTCCTTATGAACTCCTAGGTCATCTGCAATATCTTTGCTAACTGTTTTATAAAGTTAGAATCAAACATATTTATGCTATTTGGTGATAGTGGGAAGAGAGATCCAAAGTCATTCACATAACCTGACGACTGATTTTGAGATCAGAAGGTACAAACTATGTACTGGCTTTTTTATTAATTCAATGACATTACTGTTAACTAACACTCTCCCTACTGAAAGCAGAGACAGGCCCTCGTGCTCCTTCTCCTTAAGCGCTTCATAAACCCTGTGGATGAAGCCAACAGACCTCTAAATGTTAGCCAGAGAATATAACTGTGGACACCAACATACTGTAGTTTAACATGCTTCATGTTGCATGTGAAGTGTCATGATAACAATGTCAATCTGTGCCTGGAATGAACCCCATGAGTTGTTGTTGTTTGACTGCACCCAATACAAAGCTATATGACTGGATCCGTCCTGACTGTGATGGATTAAACGGTGAGCAGGAGGAAATCTGTAGTCAAACACTGCCCTCACCTGGCCACTTCATATCGGTTCAAGGAAACCAACATGAGCTAATCTCTGATTCAATAAGCATGATGAAAATATAACTTTATAGCCATATAGAGAAAATGGTTATGTTGAACTCCAATAACCTAGTTAAGATCATCTGTGGAAGAACAAGATGTTCTTTGCCATTCCCATCAACAAAGGCCACATCTTTGCAGGGGTAAGCAGTTTATCTGTGTTTTGTATGGTCCCCTTGGCATGGCATGCTGTGGGATGGCCTCAATGGGTACATCCAATATGATGAAAGAATGAACGTGTTGGATTTAGTTGTAAGCACGTTTGTAGTAAAAACCCTCCCAGATCTGCGTCTCCATCAAATTCTGCCACCTACATTACAAAGAAAAGGCCATTCTCTTATTGACCTTTATTCTTCTTGGATCCAAGATGGCGCCGTTGATGGCCGCCACGGTGCTTCGGTGCGCTTCGTTTTTTGTTGTTAATTGCCACTTTAACTGCAATTCATCACTTTGTCGTCACTCGTCACTTTGTCACTTGTCCGTTACTTGTTCGTTAGTGCACTTTATGCTTAATATGTTTCTTTTTAACTTTTTTAATATTTAAAATTTTTAACTTTATTCCCTTGTTTTATACTAACCCATAGCCTTATTCTACTAACATTCTACTTTATTTTATTACTTGTGCACTGTTGTCTTGTCTGTCTACTGTCGCGCACTAACGGCCAAGACAAATTCCTTGTATGTTTGGCAAATAAATGTTTCCTGATTCATGGATGAGTCACTGAGTAAGGGGGCCTCTGCTGAGAGCCTGAGTGTTTGAAGAAACTGTTATTGACTAAAGACTTAGTAAGAAGTATTCCAGTCTGTTCTTTTCGCTTCTGATCCGATCTCCTTTCATACCTGCTTATCACAAGTGTGATCCACTTTCCATTTTATTGTTTCTGTATGTGAAGTCTTAAGATTGTATAGTAATATGAAAACGGTAATTATTTAATGAATGATATTATGGCCATGTGTTTATATGATGGATAAGGCCATTCTATATTGTTTTAAGTGAATCAATAAAAACATATTAAAGCTGCAAGCAGCGATGAACGGGCCTTCGCCTCCACTTGCATGTTGGAGGGGCAGCGGTCAGCCGGACACGCCGCCAAAAAGACAAGAGAATCAGTGCCTGTGTGGAATTCGAAGTCTGGCTTCGCAAACAGAATACTTCACCACTTGGCTACTTGTCTAGCTGTACAAAGACCTGCAAAAGGTAAATAAATATGTAGGATCACCTCCATTCAGTTGAGGCAAAGAACGTGAGCTAATTTTAAAAAGTTTGGCAGACATGTTTTGGGAACTGAACACATCACAGCAGTATAGGGTTATTATTGTCATTATTTACAATAAATCATCCCTGGCTAAATAATGACAATAATAAAGCTGCACTGCTGTGATGTTGCTGCTCTTCCTCTTCTCCTTTTACAAATTATTAGTATTGTCTCTTTTGGAAGGTTATTCTTTTGTTTCAGTTTTAGTTTATTTAATTTAATTTAATATTTCTATCTTATTATATTGTATATAATGTGTATCTTTTTATTCTATTTTCTTCCCTGTACATGCTTCTGTGATACCAAAATGTCCCTCTTGAGGGATCAATAAAGCATCTATCTATCTCTACATTGAACGTGTCTCTGAAGAACACCTGTATTTTAACACGTCCACTCATGTCGGTTACAGCCAACTTGATTAAGTATTCTCAAGCCTACTCTGCTGATAGGGAAGAGACATCTTTACAGCTGGATCCAAGCTGATGCCTCCAGGTGAGTGCACCTAAATCCCAGCAGTATCTGGGGCTGCTTTATGAATACGTGTAGGGGAAGCTATTGAGCCAAAATGCCATTTGGAAGAATTGAAATCATATGAAGTAACTACATCTATAACTGTAAATGTGTTTTCAAATTTGATAAAGATTGGAGCATATTTATTCCCTCAAAAGCACCTTAATTTTTAAAAAGTGAATAACCAGTTGTCATGGCAACAGCGTAACACAAAAGCAAAAAGGTTTTTTATAACTTAATCACCTTGGGACCGTTTTGTCCGAATTTAAAGGGGCTGTGACAAAGTCCCAGGGAGGAGTTCCTCAAAGTATAGCGACTAGAAAGTGTATAAAATAGAGGGAATATTGACACAAAAAAAATTCTAACTGACTTCCTGTTCATTTTAGAGGATGGTCCCAAGAGACTTTATTTTCTATTAAGTCTCTATTAAGTTTTTTTTTTTTATTACGTCTCCCTCTTTTACATATATGTCCAAAAACCGTCATACATCCAGGTCAAACAGGTTTGTTGAAAACTGCCAGGGGGCGCTATGGAGGCAATTTGCCACTTTTGAGCCAAAACTCCACATCAGCTATGTAATGTTAGTACCTTGGACACTGACATAACTTTTCAAGCGTTTTTGAGTTTGCCAAGGCACCAAAATATCTCCTTGAACTTTCATGCGAAGACAGTGTCGTCCCAATATCCACTGAGAACTATCATTCAAGGATTTGAGGTAGATCAGATGAAATGGCTAGGAGATACACATTAAAGTGTAAAACATTTGCATTTAGCTAAGCCAATAGGTGGCGCTATCATTTTTTGAAAATCACTGCATGGGAATACTTTAAGGCGTACAATAGCATACTGAGTTAGAAATTTCGGCCAGAAATAAAAACGTTCCTTGGAGTTATGACATCTTATGTTTTCAAGAAACCAAAATAGATGGCAGGCCACGCTCAGGTAGTTTCACGAAAGCTCTTGATTTGAATAACTTTACCCCACACGGTTGTCAGGATCAATTTGCCCGAACATGAAGTGGGTCGGGTTTAAACTCTCAGAACTCTCTCCGCAATTTTGAGACCGCTTTGACAGATGAGCATCGGGGTCCTTCAAAGAGCTCACATTTTCCAAGATGGAAATTGTGTTGCTTCAGTTCGTCTCTGCGAGCGATTAAGTTAGCTTATGCTATCATTTGTTAACCTGAGATCCAAGCAACCTGATTGGCTTATCCAACTCCTGCCTGAGGTGCTCCGGCTGCGATATTGCACTACATGTGAAACTCTAAACTTTTCATTATAACTTTCTCAAAGTAAGTGCGAACGAGGTTTTGCGGAGAATTGGAACCCGCACAAAAGCATGCTGGAAGGTGTGCCAACAACCTCTTGAAAGTGGATTCGATGAGTTAAGTTTAACAATTCCTTTTACAAAAATGCATCGTATGAGTTCTGAAATGGTTCAAAACTAAGGAAATCAATAAAAAAAATTACTCTTTGCAAAGTGTTGTATTTTATTGAGCTCTGAGAAGAGCAGACGTTGAACATAGAGGAGGAAGCATATGTGATGCATCATCTCTGATGATCTTGTAGTCAGCTGCTGGTAGATCAGGAAGTCTGTGGAAACCACAAATAAAATGTGTGAATATCTCATACAAACTAAATCTCAGAAAACTAACATTTTCTGTAGAGAATTGTACTTAAGTCATCAATATGGATATGCTTATTTACAAAGTTTGTTTAAAATGTATGTATGTTTAAAATGCAGGTTTCACCTCTGCTTCTTCTTGATGTAACGTGCTTTATGGATGACACGCAAGCATCTAAGGGTGAGGCAGCGATGCATGTCGGTGAAGAAGGCTGAGGGCAACATGTGGAACAAGTTGGCTGGGAGTGAAAGCTGTTTCTCAGAATTCACTGGTGGAGGCTGGTGGAAGTTGAAGGCAGAGGATGTAGATGGACGTTCGGGTTGCAGGCGCCTACTAGAATTGTCAAGTGGAGGTGGAGTTTCAGGTCAACGGCGGGGACCAGAGATGAAGATTCAGGAAGCCTGCTAGTATGGAGTAGACTGAAGGCTGGAGGCTGGACCAAGAAGGAGATTGAGCAGGTTTCAAGAGCTGTCTTCCAGGATGACAGGTGGAGGCCAGGGGTGGAGGTGGCTGTGGAGGGCTGAAGGATTTTAGTTGCTAAAGGAGGCTGTAGAAAGAGGTGTGAACTGCAGCTGGCTGCCACAAACAGCAGGTAGAGGAGACACCTGCAGGAGGAGGCTCCTGCAGTTGACTGGCAAATACTGGAGGTGGATATTGGGCCAGCTCTTTCTGCCAAACACTACAGATGGAGGAAGCCCCTGTAGTATACTGGCAGAGGCTGTAGGTGGACGTTTGGCCTCTCAGTGGGTGTTTGCCAGTAAAATGCAGGCGTAGGAGGCTCCAGTAGTTTACTGGCAGATGTAGGTGGAGGCTTGGCCAGCAGCTGCCTGCCAAACGCTACAGAGGTTTGGTCTGCAGCAGTCTGCCAGAATATACAGAAGGGGGACACACCTGCAGTATATTGCCATGGGCTGCAGGTGGAGGTTTGGACTGAAGCAGTCTGCAAGTAAAATACAGGTGGAGGAGACACCTGCAGTCTACTGCTAGAGGCTTCAGGTTTTAGGTACACACATTTGAACTGCAGTAAACTGCAGGAGGAGGCTCCTGCAGTTCACTGGCAAATACTGGAGGTGGATATTGGGCCAGCTCTTTCTTCCAAACACTACAGATGGAGGAAGGCCCTGTAGTATACTGGCAGAGGCTGTAGGTGGACGTTTGGCCTATAGGTGTCTGCTAGTAAAATGCAGGCGTAGGAGGCTCCTGTAGTTTACTGGCAGATGTAGGTGGAGGCTTGGCCAGCAGCTGCCTGCCAAACGCTACAGAGGTTTGGTCTGCAGCAGTCTGCCAGAATATACAGAAGGGGGACACACCTGCAGTATATTGCCATGGGCTGCAGGTGGAGGTTTGGACTGAAGCAGTCTGCAAGTAAAATACAGGTGGAGGAGACACCTGCAGTCTACTGCTAGAGGCTTCAGGTTTTAGGTACACACATTTGAACTGCAGTAAACTGCAGGAGGAGGCTCCTGCAGTTCACTGGCAAATACTGGAGGTGGATATTGGGCCAGCTCTTTCTTCCAAACACTACAGATGGAGGAAGGCCCTGTAGTATACTGGCAGAGGCTGTAGGTGGACGTTTGGCCTCTCAGTGTCTGCCAGTAAAATGCAGGCGGAGGAGGCTCCCGCAGTTTACTGGCAGAGGTTGTAGGTGGAGGTTTGGCCTCTAGGTGTCTGCCAAACGCTACAGAGGTTTGGTCTGCAGCAGTCTGCCAGAATATACAGAAGGGGGGCACACCTGCAGTATATTGGCATGGGCTCCAGGTGGAGGTTTGGACTGAAGCAGTCTGCAAGTAAAATACAGGTGGAGGAGACACCTGCAGTCTACTGCTAGAGGCTTCAGGCTTTAGGTACACACATTTCAACTGCAGTAAAATGCAGGAGGAGGCTCCTGCAGTTCACTGGCAAATACTGGAGGTGGATATTGGGCCAGCTCTTTCTGCCAAACACTACAGATGGAGGAAGCCCCTGTAGTATACTGGCAGAGGCTGTAGGTGGACGTTTGGCCTCTCAGTGTCTGCCAGTAAAATGCAGGCGGAGGAGGCTCCCGCAGTTTACTGGCAGAGGTTGTAGGTGGAGGTTTGGCCTCTAGGTGTCTGCCAAACAATACAGAGGTTTGGTCTGCAGCAGTCTGCCAGAATATACAGAAGGGGGACACACCTGCAGTATATTGGCATGGGCTCCAGGTGGAGGTTTGGACTGAAGCAGTCTGCAAGTAAAATACAGGTGGAGGAGACACCTGCAGTCTACTGCTAGAGGCTTCGGGCTTTAGGTACACACATTTCAACTGCAATGAACTGCAGGAGGAGGCTCCTGCAGGAGGAGGCTCCTGCAGTTCACTGGCAAATACTGGAGGTGGATATTGGGCCAGCTCTTTCTAACACTACAGATGGAGGAAGGCCCTGTAGTATACTGGCAGAGGCTGTAGGTGGACGTTTGGCCTCTCAGTGTCTGCCAGTAAAATGCAGGCGGAGGAGGCTCCCGCAGTTTACTGGCAGAGGTTGTAGGTGGAGGTTTGGCCTCTAGGTGTCTGCCAAACGCTACAGAGGTTTGGTCTGCAGCAGTCTGCCAGAATATACAGAAGGGGGGCACACCTGCAGTATATTGGCATGGGCTCCAGGTGGAGGTTTGGACTGAAGCAGTCTGCAAGTAAAATACAGGTGGAGGAGACACCTGCAGTCTACTGCTAGAGGCTTCAGGCTTTAGGTACACACATTTCAACTGCAGTAAAATGCAGGAGGAGGCTCCTGCAGTTCACTGGCAAATACTGGAGGTGGATATTGGGCCAGCTCTTTCTGCCAAACACTACAGATGGAGGAAGCCCCTGTAGTATACTGGCAGAGGCTGTAGGTGGACGTTTGGCCTCTCAGTGTCTGCCAGTAAAATGCAGGCGGAGGAGGCTCCCGCAGTTTACTGGCAGAGGTTGTAGGTGGAGGTTTGGCCTGCAGACAAAAAGAAGGTGGGCCCTGCAGTTTGCTGGCAGAGGCTGTGGATTGTAGATGTTAAGCCGAATTTTAAAGTGGAGGTGATTTTCAAGTCAACGGAACGGACCAGAGATGGGGGTTCAGGAGGCTTGCTTGTCTTTAGAAGGCTGGACACCTCCTTTACTGGCAGGGTGAAGGATCAGGCCTGGAGTTGGACCAAGCTGAATTGACAGGTGCAGATCAGGGATGGAGGCTGTTATGGAGTGCCGGCGGATGAAAGTTGTTGAAAGTGGCCAGGGGATTTGGTATGTAAGTCGGCCTGTACAGTGCAGACGGAGGATGCACCTAAGTTTCGTGGCAGAGGGTGTTGGTGGAGGCTTGGCCTGTAGCTGTCGACCAGTAAAATGCAGTGGAGGCGGCATCTGTGGTTTACTGGCAGAGGGTGTGGGTGGAGGTTCTGAATAATATTGTCTGCAACAATCTGCAGGTGGAGGCAGCACCTGCAGTTTAATGCCGCAAGCTGTCAGTGGAGGTTTGAGTTTGCAGGTGGAACTGGATACTTCTGGTAGAGCATATTAAAGCAGCTGTCTGCTGCCTGCTAGCGGAGGCTAGGACAGCAGATGGCTGACATAATATGAAAGTAAGATTAAGTGCTTTTAAGTGAAAGAAGGTGCTTTGAACAGACCTTTGTTGAGGATTGCACAGGCACTTCAGATGCAGTAAGTGGAGATAATCGTGTTCCTGTCTTACAGAATTGGAAGGTTGGAGCATTAATACAGAAATACTATCAAATCAAAAATATACAACTAAATACAACTTAATACAGCTTAATACAACTTAATTATTACAACATGTAAATTATTTTAATTTAAGTAAGTGATTTCAAACTCAGATAAAGTCCTTTCAAAAGAATAAACATTCTTATTTGGATCATAGTGTTGAATATTACCTGGAGCTTCAGTGTTTCTGTTGCACCACCCAGCTGTCAAACTGGTCCCGCCACTCTAGATAAAGCCTCATGTCTACACCCACTCCGGCTCAGGCTAGTCCCATACGGCCGACACTCACCAGGACTTACCTGCAATGGTTCCCCAGGTCCCTGAGGAGGTTTAGAGGGACTTACCTGGATTGGTTCCCCAGGTCCCTGAGGAGGTTTAGGGGGACTTACCTGGATTGGTTCCCCAGGTCCCTGAGGAGATTTAGGGGGACTTACCTGCAATGGTTCCCCAGGTCCCTGAGGAGGTTTAGGGGGACTTACCTGCAATGGTTCCCCAGGTCCCTGAGGACGTTTAGGGGGACTTACCTTCAAAGGGTTGCAAGGTCCCTGAGGAGGTTTAGGGGGACTTACCTGCAATGGTTCCCCAGGTCCCTGAGGAGGTTTAGGGGGACTTACCTGCAATGGTTCCCCAGGTCCCTGAGGACGTTTAGGGGGACTTACCTTCAAAGGGTTGCAAGGTCCCTGAGGAGGTTTAGGGGGACTTACCTTCAAAGGGTTGCAAGGTCCCTGAGGAGGCTTAGGGGGACTTACCTTCAAAGGGTTGCAAGGTCCCTGAGGAGGCTTAGGGGGACTTACCTTCAAAGGGTTGCAAGGTCCCTGAGGAGGCTTAGGGGGACTTACCTTCAAAGGGTTGCAAGGTCCCTGAGGAGGCTTAGGGGGACTTACCTTCAAAGGTTTGCAAGGTCCCTGAGGAGGTTTAGGGGAACTTACCTTTAAAGGTTCCCCAGGTGGCGGTTTTGGGAGCCTGACTTTTAAAGGTTCACCTGGTCCATGGAGGCGTCTAGAGGGCCTTACCTTATAAGACATACCTTTTTCCTGGTGTTTAACATTACCCAGAGTTCCTGGGAATCTGTTGCTCCACCAGCTTTTAAACTGGTTTACGAACTCCACTCGATCACAGCTCCTTTTCATTATTGGTTCAGGAGGACTTACCCTTAAAGTCTTACCTGGTCCCTGAGGTGGTTCAGGAGGACTTACCCTGAAAGACTTACCTGGTCGTTGAAGTGGATTAGAGGCACTGGAAAAATAACAAAATAATTTATGGTGCAGATTACACAGAGCATTATAGAACTGTGTTACCAGGGAACTATTGTCCAATACAAGCACACAGTGAGAGCATCAACAGTAAAATGCTTCAGAAACGTTGTTAATTAAACAAAAGACTAAACGGATTTAGTTGTTTGACAGCCACATGAAGACAATTACAAAGTCAACCTACAAACACCTTAAGAATATATAAAGGATTTATGTGTCCACACACCATTTATCTCAACTTCCAGAAAAAAACAGTTTGGCTACAACTGTCACTTTTTTTAAACTCAAATTTAAGACTTGAAGAGGCAAATCATTGTTTTTAAACGCAGCCTAACTTTTATTTTACTCTTTAATGACATTTATTGTAATTGGGTTTCTTTTGTCTCAACACTTGATGTTTTGTGTATTAATGGTCTCGTCGTGGGTATGTGTTGAATGAATAAAACGTACCTTCTCTTAAGTCGCCTTAGGGTGGAAATTGGGGGGATGCTACAGAAAGATTTAGTGGAGGAGCCAGTCGTGGGTTTTGAGACTGGGAACCTACGGAGGATGAGCCGAGGGATGCCGGGCCGGTTGGGGTCCAGGATGGAGAAAGTCCTCCACGTTAAGCGTTGACTCGCCTGAAGGTAAAACAAATACAACCATCAGACCACTGCTCTCCTGTTGGAGCCATATTTTCTCTTTTTGTTACAAAACATATTATTTATTTTCAATTTGTACTAATTATATATAATTTGTTTGTAGGAATGATGTGGATTCCCTTCAACTATGAATGTATGTTAAGTTCATATTTGCAATAATAACTTATAATATAATAATAACTAACTGATTTATGAGATTGACCTGAGGAGGATCAGTGGTTATAAGAGGAAGGGATGAGTCGCAAGGCTTCCTTCGTATTGTACGGGATATTGCCACAGTCTTAGACCTCCCCTTATAAACTCTAAAACTCATTTAAAACTATATTATGTTTTGGGGATGAAACTAAACAAATCACTTTGAATAAATGATGTAAAGAGAACACAAGTCTGGAGAGTATTGATTTGGAACCAACGTGTGAGTCAGAAATGAGGAAATGCAAAGTCAGGCCACCACAGCCCCACATCACAGTATCAAACCAAAGACTGTTGAATTAAAGCCGCCATTCTGTTATACTTGATTCAAAGTAAATGGCATTAAAAATATTTACACATGCAAAATATTTTAAAGGGATAGATCTTTGCATGATGTGTGTGCCAATGAGCCATGTTAACGATAATGATTAGTATAGTTATTAATGGAGTCCTACATATAACGGTGTTTTGTTTGTGTGGTTAGCTCAGCTGCAGAGGGGGGGGGGGTGCCAGGAGATAGATAATGAGCGCAGCACTATACTACTACTACGTACTACAGTATGATTCTGGCAGTATCACAGTATTTTTTTGAGAAAACACGTTCAAACATGACCACCGGCCAGCTGAACGGCTGTTCACCACTCGTTGTTCGCCAGCGAGTCAGCTTGTTCCTCCTGTAATGCTCCTTTCCACGTTTTCATGTGGCGACGGAGTTTCTTCTTGTTGTGATATTGGGCGAGCTGTACCCAGCATGCAATTCTGCCAGTTTGGTTTCTAACTATTGCTGTTACACATTTGTGTAACAGCTGCTGGTATCAAACCCATGAACACGCAATCATCATTGGTACAGTTACATCACAGTATACAAATCACATCTTGTCAGATATATGGCGGCAAAGCTTTGTGTCACCGGAGCTGTATTAAGACAATATAACAGGGCAGGTGAGGACAGGTGTGAGAGTGAAGTCGGTGCATTTTATGAGTCGGCCTTCTGCGACGACACGCAGCACAACAGTCTTCCAATATGTAGTCGCATAGTGTTCATCATTTTAACATTCAAACAACGACCTTTGGTTTTGAGATGCTTTAGAAACAGGAGGTCTTAAATTTAAGATTTAAATCAAAAATCAAATGAAAATAGCGTTTGGAGCGCCCTCCAGTGTGCACAGAGCAGCCACTACCCATCCACTGTGGAGGTGCAGAGATGAAAAACAAGCGCTCTGTGCAGAGAAAGATGCTGAGAACGCTCCTAACTGCCAACCAGACAGCACCGTTAAGGACTCTTCTTTCTGGCTTTCAGCTTTGAATATCCTCCATCATGTGGATCATGTTAATTATTCTGCTTTCATATGGTTTCTACACCAGTTTCACGTTCAAATGCACACGCATGTGAAAAGTCTCTTACATCAAAACTACATTCTTTCATTCAACATGTAAAAATGTAGTTTTTGATGTACCTGTCCCTCACCCCACTCCCCAAAATTGCCCCCTTCAGTCTTTTAGTTTAGTTATTTTCTATTATTTGTAAACTTGTATAAAAGTAATCGCGGAATGCACTGTGAAGTAAGCCTTTGCCTGTGAGATGGTGACGGCATCATAGCAGCTCCAGGTTGTGGGTGTTCTTACCGAGCTCCTGGATGGAGGGGCAGTATCCCAGCTGCTGGGGTCGCAGTCAGGTGGGGGACCGGGTGAGGTGCCGATCAGGGAGGCCGGTCCTCTGATCCTGAGGATGGTCCGCAGGATGCCGGGCCGGTGAGGGTCCGGGATCTGGACGCTGGTGTAGCTGCACCGTCGGGCCATCTGAGGGTAAACACCAACAGTATAATGTGAAATATGATTCAGACGTCTATCAGTTGTTTATTGTAAATATGAATATGTGCACGTCATGAAGCAGTCAGGAAGCTTTATCACAGTCCAGAGTGCATCTACATTCAGACCAGTTTCACACAGACTACATTTAAAGAAGGTCAATCTGAAGCTGTAAAGGTCGGTAACGTGGATCACACATATCTTGTTGTGGGTGTTGATTTGTCTGCTGCTCAGTGTGTTAGTGTTCATAAAGGTTTCTGAACGAGGTTCGGTGTAAAAAAGCTTCCTAATAAATAAAAAGCATCACTAATCGGAAGGAAACGTGGGAATTGTGAACCCATTGAAATATGGAATAAATATATTGTCACGCGTGCACCACTTATTGATCATAGTGTCACGTAGAAGTTAAAAAGAGATCAACAATATCTTTATAGCATTTCTCAGTTCAAGCTAACGTTAAAATGCTGACGGTCAGCTTCATCAAGCTAACCGAGAAAGCAGCTTTAGTTTAGATAAACCCACAAGTCGTTGCCTTAGTTTAGATAAACCCACAAGTCGTTGCCTTAGTTTAGATAAACTCACAAGTCGTCGCCTTAGTTTAGATAAACTCACAAGTCGTCGCCTTAGTTTAGATGAACTCACAAGGCGTTGCCTTAGTTTAGATGAACTCACAAGTCGTTGCCTTAGTTTAGATAAACTCACAAGTCGTTGCCTTAGTTTAGATGAACTCACAAGTCGTTGCCTTAGTTTAGATAAACTCACAAGTCGTTGCCTTAGTTTAGATAAACTCACAAGTCGTTGCCTTAGTTTAGATGAACTCACAAGTCGTCGCCTTAGTTTAGATGAACTCACAAGTCGTTGCCTTAGTTTAGATAAACCCACAAGTCGTTGCCTTAGTTTAGATAAACTCACAAGTCGTCGCCTTAGTTTAGATAAACTCACAAGTCGTCGCCTTAGTTTAGATGAACTCACAAGGCGTTGCCTTAGTTTAGATGAACTCACAAGTCGTTGCCTTAGTTTAGATAAACCCACAAGTCGTTGCCTTAGTTTAGATGAACTCACAAGTCGTTGCCTTAGTTTAGATAAACTCACAAGTCGTTGCCTTAGTTTAGATAAACTCACAAGTCGTTGCCTTAGTTTAGATGAACTCACAAGTCGTCGCCTTAGTTTAGATGAACTCACAAGTCGTTGCCTTAGTTTAGATGAACTCACAAGTCGTCGCCTTAGTTTAGATGAACTCACAAGTCGTCGCCTTAGTTTAGATGAACTCACAAGTCGTCGCCTTAGTTTAGATGAACTCACAAGTCGTCGCCTTAGTTTAGATGAACTCACAAGTCGTCGCCTTAGTTTAGATGAACTCACAAGTCGTCGCCTTAGTTTAGATGAACTCACAAGTCGTCGCCTTAGTTTAGATAAACTCACAAGTCGTCGCCTTAGTTTAGATGAACTCACAAGTCGTCGCCTTAGTTTAGATAAACCCACAAGTCGTCGCCTTAGTTTAGATAAACCCACAAGTCGTCGCCTTAGTTTAGATAAACCCACAAGTCGTCACCTTAGTTTAGATAAACCCACAAGTCGTTGCCTTAGTTTAGATAAACCCACAAGTCGTCGCCTTAGTTTAGATAAACCCACAAGTCGTTTCCAGTAGTTTAAGTTGCACTAACCATTGAAAATATGACCACAAAGATTAGCATAAACATCTGGGGTCACCGGTAAAATACATGAAACAACAGTGGCTTTAAAAGTGTATAAATCTCACTTCTGTGCTGCAGAAGGTTCTGTACACTTCGTCAGATGGTCTCTGGTGGACTTCTGGGGGCAGAGAATCTGTCTGAAGGTTTCGTGGGAGAGTAGAGATGTCTGCTTCTCTGACCGATCCAATGTGAGTTTGAAGACGAACATTCCGGTAACCACGGCAACCACGGAACGTTCCGGTTCCTGCTGAGAACAGGTCTCACCTCAGAGCTCCATCGGAACATGTTCACAGGCTCACTGTCCGACAGACACGTGACCCAAGTCATTCTCCGCTGCTACAAAACAATGTGTTACACAAGTCAAATAACATGGAAATGCATCTGTTCCTGGAGCTTTGGGGGTGTCACTGTCCTCTGTCCTGTGTGGTCCTCCAGTGTCCACTGATTGACAACATCTCGTCCTGATGTTTTACAGGATTCCGCTATCATTTATGGAGACAGGAAGCTAGACTTTCAGAATAAAGTGAAACAACAATTTAAAATGAAAACCAGGCGTTTTCTGCATTTTGTTGCTTGTTTGCTGTGTCTCTTGTCGGACAAATGTCTCTCCAAACACATTTTGTCTAGATCTATTGTGTACTGTTGACTGTCTATTGACACCCCCGTGCATCACACCCTGACAACTCTCTTTTTTTGTGAAAGTAGACTCAACTCCTGGATATTCTACTTGTTTGCAATAATAGTGCTTCCATATGCCAAAGATGTGTCAGTTTGTAAAGGACACTCAAACATAGAGGACAGACACAAGCCTTGAGTGCTGCCAGTGTCTCTTTTAAACCGGCATGTAACATGGGTTTAGTACATCAATACAGCCAGAAGCGCTACCGACATTATATTAGCACATCAATGCACTGTAACTCAGTACAATCTTCCTTATACTTTATTTGAGTATTCTTTCATTTCTGTATTTCAAATGGAAATAACGCTTTATACTCCACAACATTTTATGACCCCTTTAACTAACGAACAACCGTCCCCCGACACTCACTATTACACAACGGACTCCCACGTCTGGTGCAGTATCTTTAAGTCAGTACCAAAGTGTTTGGCATCAATCAAATGTCACGTAAGCGGATGAGAAATGCTGCAGTGCCTCAACAGGCCTTTTTGTGTGTCATTTTGCCCTGTCTTTTGCATTTGGCAACAAATTCTCGGCGACATCACATCTTCCTTCAGGACAAAGTGGAGTTTGACTGTTATGGTCATTAATCAAGTCAGATATTTGAATATACTTATAATCATGATATTACAACATTAACCATCTATTTAGCATCTTATAGATATAACTAAACATTGGATGACTGCATAACGTGTGAAGGCCTTCTGAGGAAGATAAAGCAGATAAAGGTAATAGCAGCTGTGTGACTGGACGTGACAGAGAGACGGGACATCTGTTGGTCATAACGCTCCCCGTCCCTTTATGAGGCTGACGTAGTCCCATGAAATGACTGAATGCTTTTGATTCTACTCACAAAATCACAACTGATATTTCATTATTAAAATAAGAGGGCTTTTTATTATATTTAACGGTGCAGGCGTTACAAGCCCTGGTCCATCGCTGAGCTGGCGGGGCTTTTGTTTCTAAAGGGCAGGCCGGAAGTGGTTTTATTCCTCCGGTGAGCTTAACAGCGGCTGTCTGCGCGTCCCCTTCGCGTCCCTGGTGCACTAGTGAACCGGAGGAGCAGCTCGCCGCGCTGCTCGGACCGCAGAGGATGACAGACGGGAACCAGTCGGTCCCGTTACGACTGCGACAAAGCGAGAAACGCGAGCTTCTTAATACTGATCGTTAGCAGAACCTGCGCATCTCAGCACCGCAACAACAGGCTCGGGCGGGATGCTCGGCACCGGCACAGAATCCCCGGTTATTCACATCCAGTCACAGGCCGCCGCCGGTACCGGCGAGCTAATCTGCTCCGTTGAGTGACACAACGGGACCGAAGCAAAATGGGATTCCTGCACCAGCTCCATCTCCTGCTGTGGAAGAACATCTCTCTGAAGAGGAGGGGACCGGTAAGACACCCCGTCGGTTGACACGTGCCCCGCCGTGCCAGGCTGCGGTATTTGGGCGAAGCACCTGCTGTCTCCATCTGAGCTGATGATGTCGATGATGATGGTGGTCGTGGTGAAGATGGTGGTGGTGGTGGTGAAGATGGTGGTGGTGATGATGGTGGTGGTCAAGATGGTGGTGAGGATGATGGTGGTGGTGAATATGGTGGTGGTGATAGTGGTGGTGATGATGATGGTGGTCATGGTAAAGATGGTGGTGGTCAAGATGGTGGTGAGGATGATGATGGTGAAGATGATGGTGGTGGTGAATATGGTGGTGGTGATAGTGGTGGTGATGATGATGGTGGTTATGGTAAAGATGGTGGTGGTGGTATTGGTCAAGATGGTGGTGAGGATGATGGTGGTGGTGAAGATGGTGGTGGTGATAGTGGTGAAGATGGTGGTAATGATGTTGATGGTGGTGATGATGATGGTGGTCATGGTGAAGATGGTGGTGATGATGTTGGTGGCTGTGAAGATGGTGGTGGTGGTGGTGGTGAAGATGATGGTGGTGATAGTGGTGAAGATGGTGGTGAAGATGGTGGTGGTGGTGAAGATGAAGATGGTGGTGATGATGGTGGTGATGATGTTGGTGGTGGTGAAGATGGTGGTGATGACGATGATGGTGGTGAAGATGGTGGTGGTGCTGGTGAAGATGATGGGCAGCAAGTTGTGGTCAAACAGGTGGTGGTTTGGGGCAGCTGCAGCGGTTCGCTCAGGATGTGCTGTCATGACCTCATCAGGGTGTGCTGTCATGACCTCATCAGGGTGTGCTGTCATGACCTCATCAGGAGGATGATCCAGAAACACTGTGTGCACACACGTAGACAAGAGAGGTCAATACTAGAGTTGTCACGATACCAAAACTATGACTTCGATACTATACCTGCCAAAATATTACGGCTTCCGATACTTCCGATACGATACCACAAATAGGATAATGGAATATATTTATCTATGATAGTAATAAATAAAACATTGGTTCCTTTTTTTACCTGATATCTGTTTGACTGTCTGTGGGATGAACAATGCTTTATTTACTTGCATAGTTTGCTATTCTCAGATTCTCAGAAATTTCCTTAACTCAAAATAAAAAGGATTAGGTGAAGATCCACTAGCATGTAGCCTATTGCATCAAGTGTGTATTATTTGGTACAATTTTGTGTGCATTCTGACCTCATGATCATATCGGCCCACATGAGTGAAATTGTAGGTTATGTTGCATGTATATATTTCTGCTGGACTATTCAGGAACTTATTTGGGGTCTTGCTTTGTTTTGTGTTGCTTGATGTTTGACTGTGTTAAGTTGTTGTCAAGCTAGCAACAAAGCTACAGGGCTGCCAACTCTCACGGTTTCCCCGTGTGACACGCGTGTTTCCATGTTTTCACACGCACTCACGCCACACATCCAATTTATTACGCAAAAAAAAAAGAATCTGCGCTGGTTCATCTAAACGGCGCATCTATAACCCGATTCGCCGCACGTAGCGTAACTTACACCCCCGTCAGCCGTAGCTTCACCCCCAACGTCTCACTCCAAGGTTTAGTGAAAAGTGTCCCTATAACATTACAAAGAAGCCGACTCGAGAGCACTTAATACTAGCATCACTATGCTAGCGTTTTATAACAAGCTTGCTAACATTGCTAACGAGATGTCTGCTAGCGGCTAAACTTACTTTGTTTATGACAAACTAGCAAGTCAACAATTTTCCAAACAGTCAAACATCAAGCAATGCAACACAAGACAAAGCAGACGTCCTCTTATACTCGGACATTTCCTCTTTTCGAGACCTAAAAAATGCGTCTGGGTAAAAGAGGACGTCTGGTCACCCGAGCTAAGCTAGGCTAAGGCTAATGGTGTTAGGCTGTATATGGGTGAGCAGTCTGCTACGAGAGGGCGCGTCTCCCCTGACAACATGTGTGAGAGCCGTTCAGTCGATGTGTGCAGGCAGCCCGACACGGAGCGGGACAGTCAGTGCGCTACAATTGCTGCTTTTCTTAAAGTACTGGTACTAAAAATATTCAAAACCGTATTGTTTTCAACGTATGGGTACCGCGGTACCTTTCTAGTACCGGTACACCGTGCAACACTAGTCAATACTTTAAATTACTTTAAATTACTCGTACAGCCCAGCACGCGTTGTTTACCACTGAAGAGCGGATGGGAAAGGGGCAGATTGCTGTGGAGTGGTGATATGATGGAGAGCAGCTGGGCAGACACACACAGACACACACAAGGGAACCCAACACCTGCAGGTGGCTTCCATTAAGCCGATCCCCTCCAGTAAACCCAAGGTTGAACTTTGACGAAACCGTCCTGACTGAAGGTACTTAACCTCACTTACTTACCAGATATTTTGTGCCATTTCAATGTGGAATAATTCCACCTAATGCGGCAGGTGTGGAGGTGTGAAAAGGACTGCAGCATGTACCTGAAGGCGCTTTGTAAAACCAGCGGACCTTGAGTTGAGATCCTGTCCCGTTGATGAGCCTCTGCTTCCGAGCACATTGTGCTTCACATCAGAAAATCTATTCAATGGTTGTTTCCTCAAACACTGAACTACCTGTAGGTTTATGTCTGTTCATCGGGGAAATCGTGTCTGTTCCCTCAACCCCTCTTTGGAATCAGGATGGATGGTTGAGTGTATTTGACCTCACAATCATTAACGTTGGTTTGTTTTAACTCTGACCAAAATATTTCGCTAAACGTAACAAAGTGATTCCATCTGACCGCACTTTGTGTTTCAAATCCCTGCATTTAACACGACAAAAAACGCCGAGGGAATCCCACCCCTGGTTTATAGAAACCACACGGCATCTTTATCACTCTTACGCAACGACATCACTTTAAAATCGACCGTTAGTATTCAGGAGTAATTGTGTGTTGCCGACCCTGACAGCGCCTTATTTCAGTGACGCTCTGTTTTCCATCGCTGGCCTGCCGTTTATCCCCCGGGTTCATCGCGTCCCGATGGAGGGGTCTGTGTGGGCGGAGCTATTTTTAGCCCATCTACCTTTCAGACGTCCAACTCTGAGGAGACACGAGGAGCCGCATTAGGACCCTCCGTCACCAATAATAGTAACAGCTGCGTCATTTCTGTTTGGCTCATTACAGCTGACGGGTGGAGCAGTGGAGTCAGCTTAGCTGAAGGTTACCATGTGTTGTGGGTAAGAGCAGATTTTCAACTATTGTGACGAATGTTTTAACATTTGTGTGCGTGTGCATGTTTCATCTCAAATACAGACCAGCATAGCGTTTAGATAGATAGGCTGTACTCAGACTTCTCTTTGTCATGTCATCATCCGTTCAATGCATTCCTGCCAGAGGACACATTAGCAGAGCCGGGAGCCAAACCACCAGTTCTCTGATTAAA